TACTTTCACTTATCAGATATTTTTAAAGTTTCAAGTGTCTGAAAAGTACATTTTGTGTTTCATCTACTTTGCAGCTGCTTTAATATCTGGTCCACATTATACTCGCAAAGCACAAGCTCTATATTTTGCCAGAAATATCTGAGCAGCTTGGAAACAGCCAATAGAGTCTCTCTGGAGCGGAAAAAAAACCCCTCTCTTTCTATTACATTTAGAAAGAGAAGATACATACACAAGAACATTAAAACCACTCAGGAAAGGGCTGGATATATCCTGAAAACATTGAATTGCTTTCTTCTCTTTTAAACTGCCTCTGGCAGAATGAAAACATCAGAGTGGCTTCAAGATTCATGGCCTACTTAAAAAAAAAATAATTTAAGGCAGTGAGGGGAGAAGGTCAAACATACAAACAAGCAGTAAATTACAAAAGCCACTGTGACTAGCTCAAAATGAAATGGCAAACCACTGAGACAGCCAGTATTAACTCAGGAATGACTTTCTGGGTCCTGTGATTAGACAATTAAGCTGCTGTCCCTCAGGTTATCAGAAGCACTCGATGGGGTGTTTCTGCTTAAAACAAGGGTATGATACACAAGGTCTGTATCTGATTTAAGATGATCCCCAAATTCCCAAGTATGCATGCCCAGAGGCATATTTAAGATTCTGAGGATTAGCGAGCTGATTTTACTAAGCATTGTGTGTGGGGTTTATTATTATGAAAGCCAGCCAGAAAGACTGGAAAGGTAGTTTGCTCAGCACCTTAAATTACATACTTCTGATTTCATAACTAGAGGTAACTGAGGGCTCTAGTTACAGACTCATCAGTATGTGGCAATTGTCCCTCCACAGAACTTTAATACTAGAACTTAGAGCAAATAAATATCTAGGTCTTTAAATTATAGGAAATGTATCCGAGCAAGTGAAAGTACAAGCAGCAGTGGAGGGCAGATTTCAATGAAAAATGTAGAAGGAAAGGTTCTCTAAAAGATAAGCAAAAGATAAATAAACTGATTACAAAGAGAAAGAGATAGATTCCTAGTGAGACAGGAATCAGTAGGACTTCTTACTGAGAGGAAGTGGATGGATAAACATCCTAAAACACATGTCCCTGACAAACCAAAGGCACATCAACAAAAGCTGCAGCAGGCTGCAATCCATCTCGCCAACACAGGCAAGAGAGAAGCAACGACAAACACACAGGAGGCGATGGGAAAACCAGAAAGATAGTTAAAACTAGATAAACATGTACAAACACACACTCGCAGAGGAGGCTGGCAGGCAAAGCCTCGGCTTAATCAGAGGCATATTAACGAGGAGCTGCTGCAAAGCTGCCAAATACACCAGCCGAAACAATTTTCTGCCCCCCACACACAGTGTCAGAGCTCCCAGCTACAACAGCCCAACCTGCAACCCGCTCTCAGGTGCTCAGATTGCTTTTTGATGCTTCTGAATGAAAGAGGCACACAACAGGCCAAAAAAATCCCCATTTGTGCTAAAGACACTGAACGCACCCAACACAGGGTTTTGATTTCACGACACCAGCTGCAGCAGCACACACGCTGCGCCCCAGCACTTGAGCTGTGTCTCACATTTTGGGGGAGAAGCCGCCTTTTTGCGGTGTGTTATGCTGTACAACACGCAGAAAGTCACAACAGGTTTACTAGTAGACTAAAGGGCACAAAACAATGCCCGACAATTAACTTTGCAACGTCTACACAGCGGAAAATTTCAGCAGCTCACCCACTTCCTTTCCTGCCATTCTCTGCCAGTAGAAGTAAGTACTAGTTAGCACGTTACAATAAAAAATGGATGATTTAATGAAGGATGCCAGAAACGAATCAAGTGAGCACCCTGCTTACCTGAAACTGAGATATCCACAGTGTCTGAGCATAATGCAAGCCTCCTACACACCGTGATTTTTTTCTTAGAACAATCTTACTTCAGCAAGTAGCCTTACTTTCAATGTACAGAAAAAAAATATGGCTTTTTTTTTTTTTTTTTGGCTACTCCCCCACAACTAAACAAGCGATCACTTAGCTCTCTACCCATGCAGGCTTCAGTGTGCAGGACATGAAATGTCGATTTGTGAAGGTTAGCAATGAACTGAGAGCACAACTTGACTTTAACATATGTCTGGCAGCAGAACCATTTTAAAAGGTCCTCCCCATACATGAGTGATTTTATTCCTCCTCCTTCCTGGCCCCTCCGTGGTGGGGATAGCAACATTAGTGAGACAGCACGCTAGATACCCTCAGTTAAGGGGTGAGAGCCTAAAATAAAAATCTCATCTCAAATGCCTGGAGCGTATTTCACCTGCTGAGACACTGAGAGGGTAGAAAAGCAAAGCAGAAGGACAGGAAAAAGCAACCATGAATTTCAGATGACAGGAACCCCTTAAATCAGCTTTGTCTAACACCAAAACATACACTTCTTAATCTGTTGCTCAGGCTTTGTGATCCTACCATGACTCTACCTATGTATATTTCAACAGATGTTTGAGAGCACATGAATTCATAGAGCTCAACCCAACAAATGACCATTATTTTAATTTGGTTCCTTGCTTACCTTGCTCCTCGTTATCTTAACTAGCTTGAATCACCTGGCAATTAACCAGCACACAAACCTCTTTCTCCCAGCAGACAATAATCTAAGCAACTTCAGCACAGAAAGTACAGGATGGTTCCCTCTCTGCTTTCTCACCAACCTCCTCCTAGAACACCGACTTCTGATATTCCTCTGTGAGGAAAAAAACAAAGACAGCACGTGCATACAGCAGAAAATATTACTTGCTATTTTGTTGTGCATTTCTGGGGTACAACACTCCAGCTTTCCCTGTATCACCTAGTAAAGGAAGGTATTGGAAGTTCTCTGCTTAATTCCAATTCCAGCTGGAATTTAAGCTTTTTGGAGAGAGAGGAAGCAGAGAGGCAACCACAACCCTGCCCCTCACAGCTGCTCTGACAGCACAGTAAGCACCAAGAGGTAGACGGGAGCACTGGTGTTGCTCACACACCAGAAGTAAGGCAGATTCTTTACAAAGTTTAACTTCACTTTCTACTCTTCCTCCAGGCATTCAGCCAGAGAAACCTGTGAGTTGCTGAGCTGACAAACCGAGAGAGGACTATGTTCTGCCCCAAACCAGTCATTAACTAAGATCCACAAGCAATGTAGGCATCTGAATCTCACTGATTTCAGTGAAAGTTATGATGCAGTTTACAGCTCCTGGCCTCTACAACAAGTAGCCCAAACGCCTATTTCAGAGAGTCTGACACAGATTCTTTCAGCAGGTCTAAATGTCAGGAGGCTGGAGTTTTTCTTCCCTGAAAATACAGAGCACTTATACATATAGGTTGCCAGACCAAAATTTTATTAGGAAAGCCACCAAGGCTTTCAACTGTAACTCTGAAATAAAATCCTCTTTTCAGTAAGAATGCTAGCTAGTGCACAGGGCTTACTCTGACAGCCACACGCAATTTAAGCCTCAAACTTTAGAATTTTCCCTCCGTAACACGGCAAGTTATACACCATCACTAACCAAAGCTTTTCCACCACGAACAGCAAGTTTGCTAGATGTCATTGCAAAAACCTTCTTGGGACCCAGGACGAGTCTAGAACAATTCCATCTTCACTCACAGCCAAGTTATAAAATACACAAATTAATTTCCTTTTTTCCTAAGGGATGAGCAACAGATGCAGTTAACTCGTCCCACAAACCACAGTTTTGCATTTCAAGTTGCAGATACAGCCAGACACTATGAGCTCAAGTCTCCCAAACGGTTTTTATTCAAAGTCACTCCCACACGGCGCAACAAGCCCCTCCAGGAGGTCGGAAGCTCCTGGGCTGATCGGGAAAACATCACCTGCAGACTTTCCAAAACAGAGCGTACCCCACTCAAGTCCCCAGATCATATATTGTAGTCATTTACTCTAGCTGCCATACAGAGCTTTCTCCCCCCACCCCATCATGCCACAAGCCCAGTTTGGCAAGCTTTGCCACCGCCTTTCAAAGAAATCCAAGGCGGGCAGCGTGGAGGGAAGGGCCCGGTGTCGACGACGCCGTCCCCAGGCACAAACTGCCGCTTCTCCCTGTTTTCAAGCCACACTCGGTGCTTTTTGGGGAAGGTGAAAGCACCCACCCGGGCAGGGACCCAGGGGGCTGTGGGCTCACCCGCCCTCACGGGTGATGAACGAGGGCTCCGCATTCCTGGGGCAGCGCTGCTTCCCCCAGTCCCTGTCCCCCCTCTCACCGCAGAGACCCCCCATAGAAACAGCGAGGTGAATACACCCAGCCCCAGAGACCACCTACCCCTCACAGCAACACTGAGGTGAATTCACCCACCTCCCACAGCAACACTGAGGTGAATTCACCCACCCCCACAGCAACACTGAGGTGAATTCACCCACCACCCAGAGCAGCACTGAGGTGAATTCACCCACCCACCAGACAGCACTGAGGTGAATTCACCCACCACCCAGAGCACACTGAGGTGAATTCACCCACCACCCGAGACACCCAGAGCAACAGAAGTGAATTCACCCAGCCCCAGAGACCACCTACCCCCCAGCAACACTGAGGTGAATTCACCCACCACCCAGAGCAACACTGAGGTGAATTCACCCACCACCCAGAGCAACACTGAGGTGAATTCACCCACCACCCAGAGACCACCCAGAGCAACAGAAGTGAATTCACCCAGCCCCAGAGACCCCTACCCCTCACAGCAACACTGAGGTGAATTCACCCACCACCCAGAGCAGCACTGAGGTGAATTCACCCACCCTCCTAGAGACCACCCAGAGCAACACTGAGGTGAAGTCACGCCACCCCACAGCAACACTGAGGTGAAGTCACCCACCCCCACAGCAACACTGAGGTGAAGTCACCCACCCCCCAGCCCATCACCCTCACGGGAAGACCCTCCTCGCCCTCACACCCCCACCCCCGCCGCCTGAGGGCATTACCTCAGGAGGCGGCTGCCCCGGCCCCCCCCGCCGCCCCGTACCCGAGAGCCCCCCCGCCGCCGCCGTGGCGGGCTGTCGAAAGGCCGGCGCCAGGCTCCAGGTGAAGAAGGCCGAGAGGCCCATGAGGGCGCCGGCCGCCGCGTAGGCCAGGCGCAGGGCGAGCGCCCGGCTCACCGCCATCGGAGCGCTGCTGCGCCGCCCCGCCCGCCGGCAGCTGGCCCCGCCCCGCGACAGCGCGCCCCCTGGCGGCCGGGGGGACCCGGGGGAGGCCCGGGGCGGGGACACGGGGGGCGGGGGGAAGACGGGGCGGAGATTGGGGACGCGGGGAGTGGGGACATGGGGGGACACGGGGAGTGGGGACGTGGGGGGACGCGGGGAGTGGAGACATGGGGGGACGCGGGGAGTGGGGACATGGGGGGACACGGGGGGACACGGGGAGTGGGGACATGGGGGGACACGGGGGGACACGGGGAGTGGGGACATGGGGGGACACGGGGAGTGGGGACATGGGGGGACATGGGGAGTGGGGACATGGGGGGACACGGGCAGTGGGGACATGGGGGATGCGGGGAGTGGGGACATGGGGGGACACGGGGGGACACGGGGAGTGGGGACGTGGGGGGACGCGGGGAGTGGAGACATGGGGGGACACGGGCAGTGGGACATGGGGGGACACGGGGAGTGGGGACGTGGGGGGCGCGGGGAGTGGAGACATGGGGGGACACGGGCAGTGGGGACATGGGGGGACATGGGGAGTGGGGACATGGGGGGACACGGGCAGTGGGGACATGGGGGGACACGGGGAGTGGAGACATGGGGGGATGAGGGGAGTGGAGACATGGGGGACACAGGGGGACACGGAGAGTGGGGACATGGGGGGACGCAGGGAGTGGAGACATGGGGGGACACAGGGGAATATGGGGAGTGGGGACATGGGGGGGACATGGGGAGTGGAGACATGGGGGGACACGGAGGGTGGGGACACGAGGGGATACGGGGGGACACGACGAGTGTGGACATGGGGGGACACGGGGCGGAGATTGGGCATGGGGAGTGGGGGCACGGGGGGTCATGGGATGGAGATTGGGCATAGGGAGTGGGGACACGGAGTGGGGACACGGGGGATACGGGAGGACATGGGATGGACATTAGATATGGCGAGTGGGGACATGGGGGGACACGGGGAGTGGGGACACAGGGTGGACATGGGGTGGACATGGCGAGTGGGGACACAGGGGGACATGGGACGGACATGGAGAGTGGGGACATGGGGGACACGGGGAGTGGGGACACAGGGTGGACATGGGGCGGACATGGGGAGTGGGGACATGGGGGGACACGGGGCAGACACTGGACATGGGGAGTAGGGACATGGGGGGACACAGGTGGGCATGGAGAGTGGGGGGACGTGGGGGGGTGGGGATGACACACAGATAGACCTGGGGAGTGAGGACATATCGGGGGGGGGGCATGGGGACATGGGGGATATGGGGGGCATGGGGACACAAGAGTGGGGACACAGGAGGACATGGGCATGGGACACGGGGTCTTGAGGGACACAGGTGGACAGAGAGGAGTGGAGACATGGGGGGCCATGGGGACACGAGGGTGGGGACATGGGGACATGGGAGGGACACAAGGGAGACATGGAGGGCATGGGGAGGGGTTAGGGACACGAGGATGGGGAGATGGGGACATGGAGGCATGGGGGGGACATGGAGATGATGGGGGACAGGGAGGCACAGGGTTAGGTGGGACATGAGGACACGGGAGCACTGGGACAGGGGAGCACGTGGCGTTGGGGACATTCTCTGTGTGGCCTTTGCTTCCTCTCTCGGGGAGTTTTCCTTCCTCAGCCAGCACCATCCTGCTCGGTTGTGGCATTGTGGCTTTGGGGACACCTCATAAAAGTTCTTAAATACTTTGGGGGCTTTTTCATTCTCACTTTCTCTCCTCCCCCTCCCCCCCCTCCTTTTTTTTAAAAAACATTTTGTCATTTTCTGAGGTGCTGCCTGGGTTTGGCTGCACTTAAACCCAGGGGACAGAAACTTGCAGCAGGGATGGAGACGAGAATGGGCTTTTTCCACCTATTTTGAATCAATTATTAATTGCACTTATGTAAGAGGTACATCGTCTGCTGCTCAAGGACGGCAGGGGCGGATGCTCTACCCAGAGCCTGGGAATCCATTACTTGCTCTATTCCAGCTCATAATGTTTTTTCCTTAATTTTCCGGATTTAGTCTCTACCAAGATGATCTTTCCAGGCCTGGGAGAGTGCAGCTTGGCTGCTGTGACCGCATGCAGAGGAGTCCCTGCTCTAGATGGCAGCAGCTTCCTTCCCTTTCCCTGAGATAGCCCTGAGCAACATCTCCCCTTCCCTCCTTTACTTTATCCAGTGAGACCCTGAAAACCCCCAAGGATGGAGTTTCTCCATATATCCCACGTGAACCTCTCTGACTTCAGCCTCCTGCTGTGAACCACCATGAAGAACCTGGCTCCATCTTCCCGATAACCTCCTTCTAGATGCTCGAGGCCGCTGTTATGTGTCCCCAAGACTTTTCTTTTGGCTGAACAAGCCCCATTTCCTCAGCTTTTCCTCATGCAGAAGCTCCAGCTTCCAGCCGTGCTCCAGCCTCCGACTCTTTCGGTGGCCCTCCTTTGAATTCACCCCAGTTCATTGATGTCTGTCTCCTGCTGGTGGCCCAAAACTGGACACAGCATCCAGATGTGGTGCAACAAGTGCTGGGCGGAGGGCAACAAGTGACAAACCGTCGGAGAACATGGGCGGGATGCGGAGGATCCTCATTTTTTGAAGGACATGATGATGAGGACAGTCACGGCATGTCTGCAAATGTTGACGTTCACTGGGGCTGAGAGACGTGGCTGAGGCTCCAGCTCCACCAGTTCAAGAGCAGGTCATGCGATCCGCGAGCGGAGAAAATGTTTATGCAGTGCGAGCGACCCGTAAAGCCTTATCACATTCTTGGCTGAAGAATCGGAAAAATTCACGGGGGAGCTCACCGCAGGGCCCGGAGGAGAAACGGCATTTCTTGGGCAGCACCGTGGGACGTTATTCCGAGCACACCTCACGCCTGAGGTGCTGAACGCGCATCGGTCACGGTCACTGGTGAGAACGTGGATAATCTTGCAGCTCGTTTGGGTTCAGCAACGCTGAGTCGCAGCCTGACGTATCCTGGGCCTGAGCACAGTCCCCGAAGACTCGGTGACATTAATAAAATACCTGGTGCCCTTGGGATGGATGGCTGCAAAGACCCGCTTGTCCTGGGTGCCTTTGGCTGGGGGAGGGACTTGCTGTTTGTGTTTTTTTAGCATAAAATCCTTGAGACCTGCAAAAAACTCTCTTCCCTGACACCTCCTGCAGCCACTGCAGGAATTCAGATGCTGCGTGCATGTACCTGAAAGCGCAATAAGCAGAGTCAGCAAACGCCAGTCAGCTATTCTGTGTCAAAACAGGTAAAATGAGCTCCATCTCTGTTCTCTCTTCCCAGACTCTTCTCACACGTACTTTCTGCCAATTACCCAGCAGAAATTTGGAGACAACTTCTGTAGTGTCATTCCAACTCAGCTGAGTCTGCCCAAATGGCTGGTGCCAGAGACAAAAAGATTTTGTGGAATGATTTTTTTCAGGTAGAAAACCTCTCTGACCCGAGCAGAAACAAGTCTGTTTTTTTATAGATGATCAAGGTTCAAATGGATCATTTAGGGAAGATGAGGCCAAAGCAGAAAGTCATCCAGAAGGATCTGGGGAGATATAATAAGGGGAGCAGGTAATGGGGAGCAGGTCTATGACTTCAAACAACCTCAGAGACGGTCAATGTGTCTTTTAAAAGGCTGCAGGAGGCATCTGGAGGTCAGAAGTGGGTAGGTCTGTCTCCAGTCTGGGTGATGGGTTTGGGAGACCTTTGGCTGTTCCCACAGAAAACAACAGGACATCGACATGGGTAAATAGCGGGAAAGAGTAAATGCTGCTTTGGAAAGTGGAATAAAGTGGCCTCGTGGACATAATGTACATTGATTTTGAGAGAAATCCATTCTGTTGTGCTCCTTCACCTCTGCTGATGGGAAGGAAACAACTCCCCTGCGTTAATAACCATCCACCAGACAAGACCGAGGAGCTGGTGGGAGATCGGTCTGTGTCAGTGCATCCCACTCTGCGCCAGGCGCGGGGAGATCCTGGAGAGATGCTGAGATACGGGGCAGGGTTTGAGGGTGGATCTGGCGGGGAGCTCGGCTCAAGGGTGCAGGTCCCAGCTCCGATGTGCGACAGGACTCGGGAGCAGGATCAACACGTGGAAATGCCCTGGGCTGCAGCTGATACCAACCAACAGCCGAGGAAGAAGAGAGCGGTGCGGGTGTCCCTTCGTCAGAAAGAGGATGAGAGCGGCACGGCTGGTCGCGGGAGGCCCCCGAGGAGGGGTTGACATCACCCTTGGTAGGTTGCTGCCATGCAGACGTGCGTGTCTGGGCCAGCCAGCGGTGAGAGAAACGGGCACTTCGGGGCATGAGTCACCTCATCCCGAGTTAAAGATCTCAGCCAGCTCAGGAGAATCGCGCCCAAGGAGCGATTCGCACCTTAAATCCCTGCCAGCACCGTGCGAGCAGGTCTGGCAGCTGGCGTGAGCGTGCACCTCAGTGCCGAAAGAGTCTGGGTTTGGGCAGCAATCTGCTTTTTTGATCAGCCCGGTGTTACAGTGCCAAAGCAAGTTGATCCCCAGGTGGAAAAGCAGTGCTGCCAGGATCAGAATCCCCCTCAGCAAGTGCAATTCTCTCCATCCACGGAGCAACAAACCCCAAATCTGCAGGAGGTAACGAGAAGCTGAGTGTGCATGGAGGAACCTGGGGGTCTGGAGATCCTCCTTCCTTGCCCAGGAGACAAATGCAATCACTGGACAGGAGTCCTGCACCATGCCCAGCTGACCTTTTTTGGGATGCTGAGCTAGAGGAGACGTGGTTTCCACAATTCCCTGAGCCTCTGCATCACCCTTGTCCACAACCTTGTCCGTTCTGGGACAAGGCAAGTTTGGAGCACCCTCAGCCAACTCACCAACACGTTGGAAGCAATAGCAACCTCAAGCTGGCCTCGGGATTAAGATGATTAGAAGCTGCTGGAATTTGCATGGCCTAATTAAAGATTCACTGAGCAGACACAATGAGCCGGCGCTGAGCAGCTAGCCCGGCGCTCGCACTGTATTTCCCCGTGGGCT